TGATGCATCACCACCTAGAAGAAGGAGTTTTTTTTCACCTGATGCATCTCCCCCTAGAAGGAAGAGGCCAGATAACCCCAATAATTCTTTTTTTTTAAGAATAGACATCAAGTCTAAAAGACAACATACAGATTCATCTTTACAAGGTATTTTTTTTACCACATGTTTATCAAAGCTGTTCTTTTGCAAATGCCAACATAAGTTTTTCTGTTTTTTTTCATCTGTTTTTATAGATAGAAAAGCAGGTCTTCTGTCAGCGGAAGACTTGAAATTTTTTTTTGAATTAACACGTAAGCGTGAAGCTGAATTATTTGCAAATATGGACTCTAAAATTTTTTTTAAAGGAGCCAAAACAGTTCATCGTGACAAGTCTGGAAGAAAAAGAGATCTTGATTTTTTTTAACAGAAAAGGAGAGAAGAAGAGAAAATGAAAGCTAAAGATGATGAAAAATTCTTTTTTTTGGGAAGAGGGTGAGCAGACATTTTTTTCTTCTCCTTTCTCTATGCATTTTTCTTTTTTTTTTCATAAACTATTCATTGTCTTTTAGTGTGGCACAAACCAAAGCAGCAAAAGACTTTTTTTTAGATTTTCTTCATGAATCCAGTAAACCTCTAGCAAGATACAAAGACGACAAGGATTTGGATGCAATGCTCAAAGACCAAGAAAGAGAAGATGATCCTATGTTAGCTTACATGCATTTTTTTTAAGCAACTGGGAACAAAAAAGCTGGCGTAAAAGGTAGAACGTTTCAAGTATATTTTTTTTTAATTTTACTGGATTTGCAAGTTGATTTTTGTGATTTTTTCAAAACATTTTTTTTTTTTTTTCTGTGGTCTGTCTTGGACTGTCAGTAACTGAAGTCATGAACAAAACATTATACTTTTTTTTAAAACATTGAGGATTTACTAGTGCATGAAAAACCAGAAATCCCTGGGACTGGGTTTTTTTTGCCCCCTTCCTCCTCTGTGCTGAAATCTCAAGTCTGACAACTACCATTCCTCTTTTTTTTTCTTACAATACTGACTGGCTTCTTTCCATGTTTTCATACAGCTAAACCTACATACAAAGGACCAGCTCCACAACCAAATAGATTCGGTATTCAGCCTGGTTACCGTTGGGATGGTGTTGATCGTTCAAATGGATTCGAAAAGAAACGGTTTGCAATGCTTGCTAACAAGAAGGCTGTAGATAGTATTGCTCATAAATGGAGCATTGAAGATATGTAGACCTTCCTTTAAGTATATTTTATAATCTTGGTTCTGAATGTAGAATAATGTAAATATAATTGCTGTTTTTTTTTTATTGAAGCGAAATATTTCTTTATTTACACACTTATTCAATAACGTTACTATGTTTCGCCTGCTTAAATTTTTTTTTTTTTTTTTATTTATATACATTACAGAATTTCTTTCTTTCCTGCTCTGAGTTTTTTTTTTTATATACAAATCTCCTTCTCGTTAGAGCTGAGAACAAACGTCCATTCATCGTTGTTTTTTTTAAGTTCTTTCTTGTAAAAATACACTTCTCTTGCTTTTGATGCCATCGCATCCTTTTTTTTTTACTGCATATACCTTTGACTTTATTAATCGCGGAAATCAGCATCTTGTGGCTGTACGATCTTAGATTTCTACTTCTGAAGAAATACACCATTGGATTGACCATGGCGTTACAGATTTTTTTTGAAAAAGAGATAACTCGAGCGATGTTAAGCATCGGTGACTCTACTCGTCTAACTTTTTTTTTAGACCGTATGGTGGTATATGGAATGAAGCTGATTACTAAGGCTAACATCACCTTTTTTTTGGTTGCTAGGCCTCGCCTTTCTGACTTCATATGCTTGGGTGTTTGCTGCATAATCTTTTGCGCATGAGCTTTCGATATGAGATAAAGTCTGATGTAGAGTACTCCCATGAAGACATAAATGACGATCATGTATGTGTAGAAAAACAATCGCAAAGAGTTGTAGAGACGTTTGTAAGGGGCGGACAGCACAGAAAGGACAATCCCAAAGAACAAGCTAAAGSTCCAAACMGCTGCTATTTTTTTTACAGTTCGCTTAAAGGTAACTATCGATGTGTARTTCAGGGCATAYACAATAGCTTTTTTTTGATCAAGTGTTATAATCGCTAAGTTGGCCAAACTTGCAGTAATGGTTACAACCCCGACAGCCTCCACGAACTTGGCAAAAATCGTATTACACGTAATCCTCCCTATAAGACCATTTTTTTTTCCCCATGCGTTGTTAGACTGCAATACGATTCCWGTTATAAGATCTGATAATGCGAGACTGGACATCAACATGTTAGAAGGGACAAGACGAAGGTTGTAGTGAAGAAGAACTGTTTTTTTTTTAGTCGAGTTTCCAAGGATGGTGAGAATTGGAAGGAGTATGTTCCAGATAAGAATTTTTTTTGCAAGCAAAGAGCTGAAGTCCACTAAGTCGAAAGTGCTTCGAATGTACGACATGTGTGGGGGATCGTAGAACTGGCACGTTGCTATGACCCGACTCTTGAGTGTGTCGTTAGCATTTTTTTTRTTCATCTGGAAGGGATGAGAGCAAGGTATTTGATTGGTTATCAGTGAATGGTTTTTTTTTCTGCAAATTCACTGMAAAWWATTTCGCACTTTAAAGGTTGATGTAYATATTATTTTTTTTTTTAAAATTTACATCATTTTGGACCCCTTACACAATATTTACATCAAATTTACATTTTTTTTAGTGCGCGATTTTTTCCAGTGAATATTGCYGGWAAATTGCTTTGGTGGTTGATTTTTTTTTTAATTGATTGGTATTAACTGGCTGGTTGGCTGATTGGTTGACTCATTGATTGATTTTTTTTTTGATTGGCTGAGTGATAGATAGATTGATTGATGATTGGTTGGTTGATTGAATGGATTATTGAATGAGTGATTGTGTGATTCATTTGTTGTTTGACTGATTTATACAAAATGCCTTTTTTTTGTATCCCAGATATCGATATTGATATATTCATTTAATACTTGAAAAAAAAATTATTTTTTTTAGTATCTGGAACCCCTATAGATAGCTTTACTCGTTTTTTTTTAATTAATTTGTTTTTTTTTAAAAGTCACGAATGGCCTAGCTACGCCTGCGAACGGCAACAACAAGAAATTACTTTTTTTTTCTCCTCTAGAAAAATGTCAGCTTGTATTGAGATCGTTTTCAATCATTCCTGTGAGATTCAAAAGATAAAAGACCGGCGGCCATGCTGGAGGAATGAACAATAGATACTAATGATTTTTTTTTTGTTGAAGATCGTCCAAGATGGCCGCTGTGACGTAGCTTGAAAWCGAACTAATTTTTTTTATTTGAGTTGAGTGTTGGATATCGTTTTGACTTCTTCTTCCGCTMTGTTTAATTTTTTTTTGCAGTTGCTCATGCCGTCAATTATAAAGTGATTTATTCTCTTATATAATAATCTTTTTTTTGTATTTTTGCTATAAATATGCCACTCGCAGGGGCGGATCCAGATTTTTTTTAATTTTTTTTGGGAGGGGGGGGAGGGAGAAAGAAATGGCGCGAGCTTTTGGCGGTGAAATTTGTTTTTTTTATTAGTTTGGAGAACCTATCAAATAGAAATTTCCCACTAAAATTCGCGAATTAATTAGGAAATTAGCTACTTCACTTGTTACTTTTTATTTTAGACGATTTATTTGTTTTAAAAAACATCCGCCGCTGACAGTCAATGCACTTGTTCCAGGTTAATTTAGATGTAATGTTAGTACTATTTTTTTGGTAGTGACACTTTACGATATTAAAAAATATTGGACTCCAACTGATCGAAACTTTTTTTTTGTGATATCGATATTCAAATATCAAATTGGAGTCAAGATTTCGCGACTTATATTTTTTTTTAACACCGCCCATTTATAGATTTTATGCCTGACAGCCTACTTTAGCGAACATAGACTCTTTTGACATTTTGGTTACTTTGGGCAAAAGTTCCTATAATTTATAACAAAAAACTCGTTTTTTTTTAAAAGAAATTAATGCAAAAATTCACGAATGTAATCTCTATTATTATGGCTGCTACGCTTTTCTTTGGCATCTTTTTTTCTTTGTAATTTCCGTTTTTGCGATGTCATTATAAATTTTTTTTTCGAGATTGCTTGTCGAAATATTGAGCTTTGATAAACATAATTTCATTTCTACTTCATATCCGCATTTTGGTTAAATCCATCCATGAAAGATCCTTATTAGATAGATATTGATTTTTTTTTTCCAAATAAAATCGTAACGACTCCTTGTTTMAGAGCCCTTATCTGTTAGTTACCGGTCGCCTGTGGAGGCCGAGATCAGCCAAGGAAAATTTTGATTGCCAATTTGAWTTCCACTTTTTTTTTTAAGAACAGGMCTGATTGTTAAATTATAAATTACTTGATCAAAGTAGGCTTTGTTTTTTTTCATTGCAGATTGCTGYAGTTGAGTTGAACAATTAAACGAAAAAACAACTCGCCTTTTTTTTTATRACGAGTTAATTTACGTACGGCAGAACGTTTATTTTTTCCTCTCGGCATTGTCAAAGAAAGTACGGCAAAAGTATGAAGAAACGTTGATGAAAAATGAATAAAATTTCAGTTTTTTTTTATTTTGATAGTTGTTAACTCAGTTTGCTACCTTTTAAAGGCCCAGTTTGCACCATTATGCTTTGCGCGCCTCTGTTATTGTTATGATTTACACCAAAATACTTAGTCTAGTATCTTTTTTTTACCATAAAACGAATTTCAGATGGTTGGAAATTCTTATGTTAGCGTTTTTAAGCTTTTTTTTAAGTGCTTAGAAAAGTGAGATGGTCAAAGATTCGAAACACACAATACAATCTGTTTTTTTTCGGTAAACTGAAAATGGTCGCCTCCTGACCCTCGCAGCCCCCAAAGCATAATGTTTTTTTTTGGGCCTTTAAGTTGTGGCTGATTAAGAAATTAAGATAAGGTCTCGTGAACAATTTTTTTTTTATTGATTGGATAACTTATTACTGCAACGCYGTGCGCGCTTGGCGGGAGAATTTTTTTTTAGGCGTACCTTCTTGCGCTAGCGTCGTTTAGTTTGTTTACTTATTTATTTGTTTTTTTTTTGGACATTTTTTTCTTAGACTGCTGATTTGTTTTTTTTTTTACCATGTCTTTTTTTTTTTTTTGCTGAGTTTCTTTTTTACCATCCATCAAAAACAATCTGCGAAGGGGGTGTCCTTTTTTTTATAGCTGTCTATAAACATAAATTGTGTTCGAGGGCATTTGACGCCAAGTAGAATTTTTTTTGTCTTTATACGTTTAACAGACAGATATGATTCAGAGCAACTCTCCACGCACTTTTTTTTTTCATAACTTCTCATTTGAAAATCAATGTCTGAAAAAGCGCACGATTTTTCAATTTTTTTTTTGTTTTTTAGTTGTTGTTTTTTTTTTAAACAGCTATGCAGCGCTAGGGAACAAATTTTTTTTCAAGCATTAAGTAAAAGCCAAATTTTAAGTAGAAGAAAGGTTTTTCTGAATAGTTTTTTTTTTTAGTAGTCTGGGACAGACATAATAATTAAGGTTTTTTCCAGTTTTCTTTCTTCATCAAGTTGTTATCATGTCTCAATAATTCACTGAATAAATGACAATATTCTTAATCAAATTTTTTTTTCTCGTAAATTCGATTCAATACTAAAAAAATATTTACCAACATTTACCGTTCGTTTTTTTTAACGGTACATTTCCTGGGGAATATAAACAATTTTTCGAAATTTTGAAGAGCMATTTTTTTTTGAAAGCGCACGAGAAGGGAACATACGTGGAGCGCTTGTGTAAACGAGATCAATTTTTTTTTGGCAAAAAACCGGTCACATTTTTGGACTTTTTGACATTGTCTTATGGAATATTTTTTTTTATAGTTGACCTTTAAATAACATAATTTATGGCAATATTTCGCCTGTGAAAATATTTTTTTTACATGCATTAAAAATGAATTGAAGCTTTCAGTACAGTTTTACTCTAGTCCATGTTTTTTTTTATTCGCTTGTTTTGATGCATAAAACGGTATATAGCGGCATATTATATGTTATTTTTTTTTTTGAAACACGTATACTAATTTCCTAAAAAACTCTTTTCATTCTTTGGTAACTCTTTTTTTTATGCTCACAAATTTTAAACTTGAAAACACTTTTTAATAACGAGGCCAGTATGCTTTTTTTTTAGGTTAAAAAAATAATGGTATTGGACTGTTTTATTCGGATTTTGTGCATTAATTTTTTTTAGTTTATTGTTAATAATAAACCAATTCAAATTAAAACAAAAATTGATAAAATAAATGCGTCTACTACGGCTTAACCGAGTGATCTAATAACATAAGAAAATGAACAAGTTATTTAGACAGACGGGGCCGCGCTCCAGTGGGCTCGACATCTGCTACTGGCCACTTGACTAATAAATTTTTTTTTGTTTTTCGAGCCTCACTCAAAGAAAGAAAGTTTTTTTTCATGTCTGTGCGCTTTTTTTTTCACCTAGGTAGTATTTTTTACCTTATCTGTATTATTTAGTTGTTATACTTCATTTTTTTTTATCCATGCACTTGAAGTAGTCGGCTTCGGTTTATTGAGAGGAAAGCTCATTGTTTTTTTTTTAATTGCCAAGCAACGCATGCTCAACAAATCAAATACTGTATAGATGTGCAAATTTTTTTTAAGAGGAATTATTTTTAGACAATGCACTAGTGTCAAAACAGAAGTCGGGCACTTTTTTTTTACAACGCTTTCAAATGGTATAACTATACAACGCTTTCAAATAGAATTAAACCTTTTTTTTTTTAGTGATGATCGAATGGAATTGTGGATCTTCATGGAATCCACTAGATTGTTATTTTTTTTTAAATCTTTACTACAATATCAAAATGTACTCAACTAAATAAGAGAAAGTAATATTTTTTTTTCGGAAAACAATTCTTCGGAATATTCAAGACGAAATTGTCACACGCTAGCATATTTTTTTTTTTGCTCCCAGAATGCATTTCGACTACACATGTAACTATTTTCGAAATGGTCAACCTTGACCAGGTGTGTCTTGAACATAAGATGTATGAAGGAGGTTTTGGCAAAGGGTTYCGTTTTTTTTAATAGTACACGTTACTCTCAACGTGAATTTTGGACTATATTTGTAGGTGAAATAAACTCAAGAGCAGTTTTGAATGAGGGATTCGCGAGTGTTGATCAGCTGCAAGTCTCGATTTTTTTTTTCGTCTAAATCTTTCTAGGAAGCCTTTTTGTTACAATCATCGGATATAGCAAAGTTTTTTTTGTATAATTATCCATTTTTCATGCCAAGTTTTTATGAAAGCAAGGTAGAAAGAGTTTTTTTTCTTATACATTCCGTGTAGAGAGGTTCYCCATAGATGATATTTAGAAGAAAACTTTTTTTTTTGAACAATACTGAAGTGTCTTGTATGACGAAACTTCACACAATGGTTTTTGTTTTTTTTTTCAGCTGGGGTCGGATGCGTGCTACTCAAAAGAATATACCACAAACGTCCTAGATTTTTTTTCTCAATTTCTACTTAATTCAGTGAAATAGTTTACTTACCGGTTTGACGAGCTCTTTTTTTTAGCTATTTCTATAAACGTGTTAATTTTACAGGATCCTGTCGATCCTGTATCAATTTTTTTTTGAAGTGCATGTTGAGGCGAATATGAAAGCTCAGGAAACACTAGTACTGAAAATTTTTTTTGGGATTTGCTTGTATGAATAACAAATCGAAGTGGTACTGAATATTAAATTTACTTTTTTTTGTTATTTTAAACAATTCCCGAGTACGAATTCATTCTCTTTGACAAGCACCTCTTTTTTTTTCTCATGCACTCGGAATATTTCTTTAATGTTTTAATCATTCACTTCATAATCCATTTTTTTTATTAACT